CAGAGGTATAGAGAGTAGGTGTGTCTCCGCAGTGTGTGACGTTCTCTGATTCTGTGAGCTGACGAATTGAAATCCACACGGTGAATCAAAGTGTAACTGGGAGTATTTGTGGTGCTTGAGGTCCCCCTACAGTGCATGAGATGGAGGGATCGAGGTGTGCCAACAGTCTTCACTGTGAATGTCCAGCCTGGTGCTCACAGGGGGAATTTGTCCTTGTTGAGGTCTGGTTCATATTTTTGTTCTTTTGTGTATAAACTTACATTGTATTTAAGTTCACTCAACTTAAAATTATGTCATTGGGAAAGGTTCATAGCCATATTATAGTAAAATGAACAATTTGTATTACACAGAATGTGACCAACAATGCAGATAAAGTCAGAATTATGTAAAGACAGCAGAGAAAATCTTCAAAGGCTCGGTTTAGATGGAGGCTGGCTGCAGGTGTTCAGAGACTCAACATGTTGTCTATCTGCAGGCAGATAAAGGAGAGTTTTTGTATTGACTTGTGGGGAATCTGAAGCACTGTGTCGACTGGCAGCACAGAAATACACACCACTGTCATTTAATGTAAGATCAGAAATAGTGAGGCTTGAATGTTTATTGCCTTCTCCATCAAAACTGATTTTTCCTTTCACGTCCTCCTCGAGATTTAAGATTTTCAAATTCAGATATCCCAGAAGCTTTAGAGCTTCTTGTTGTTGTTTGTACCAGAGAATATTGTCGTAATATGTTATGCTGTGTGAACAGTTGATCCCTCTGGCAACAGATTCACCCGTTCTCTTTATGATGAAAGAAGGTGTTTGGAGGACACTTTTGGTTTTAGAGGCACCTGTGGAAAAAGCAGAGACGATTTTGATTCTGGAAATGGAGCTGTGCAATGTCTCACTCTTTCTGGAATATTCTTGTATTTCTCACCCTTATTTCCTGGAAGATGAAGAAAACCAAATATAAAGACCATGAAGATCATGTTAACCATCATGTTAGTCTTCTCAGGTCCTCAGCTCAGCACCTGTGGAAGAGAGTGCCTCACTGTCAGAGTATAATGAACAGGGGAGGTGTCAGAGAGAGGTCTTCATCAGAGCTTTAACTTCATCAGCAGGGAAGGAGGAACGTTATCTTGATACTGCAGTCAGTGGACGTGTAGCTTGTTGTCTTTAATTCAGTTGTTGAGGTTTGTTTCCCCTGCTGATGTAAAACATACTGTAGTTTTCCTCAGTAATGGAGTTTTTTCAGTTCATAGATATTTAGATATCAAGTCTGAGTGACACCTGTATGAAAACTGTTACCATCAGTGACCATTTTAACTTGCACACAGCAGAAAGTTCACAGTGCTCATGATCCCTCTAAGAGACACTGAGGCCAATAATGCAGTGTGCTGATCTTTTTGTACTTTTTATCCAGAGTAGAACTAGTAACAAGCTGATGAGACCATGTTTGCTAATGCCCATCCATGTTCAGAAAGTCAAGAGTCAAACACAATACTGTCAGTGTAGCTACAGAGATATGAAGAGCTGCAGGTGGGAGTGTCATATATTATGTGGCATTTGATCAAAGTGTAACTGGGAGGATTTGCGGTCCTCGAGGTCCCCCTACAGTACATGAGATATTGAAACAGTAATACTAACAGTGCACTGAGGTTTTTGTTCAGCTATTGAGTGCATCTGTATCACTGTGTTTACTCACAGCACAGAAGTACAAGCCTTTATCTTCTGGCTCCAGATTCTTCACTGTGAATGTCCCACTGGCAGCGTCAGGTTTGGTGGCTGAGAACTTCACTGTGCTGAAATTGCCAAAGTCATGATCTGTGTTGATTGATGATGTGAACACAATTTGTTTAATTGTTTCTCCTGGTAGCTGTCTGTACCAGTACATATAGTAAAAGGTGGCACCCTTTGTTTGTCTGCAGTCTATTGTTGCATTGTCGCCCTTGAATTTCCACAGTGTCTCATTCTGGGTGACATCACTCCCATCAATTAGACCTGTACAAACAAACCTTTATAATCAACCAATTTCTGGACTTTTTGACAAAACTTCCATTTAAAACAATAAAAAACTGCAACAAGTCAAAAACATGCTCAAAAGATAGTTCATTTAAAATGTATTAATAATGCAGGATACCCAGTGAATTACCTGCAGTCCACAGCACAAAGACTGATAATCTGAGGAGGCCTTGTTTAATGATAATATCCATGTTCTGTTAGACGCAAACTGCCAGAGTCTGTAATAGATACATAGATATAAAGAGCTGCAGATGGGAGTGTCACTGGATTGTACGATGTGTTTTTTTTTTGTTCCTGTATCAGTAAAAGTGGTTCTTGGGGTCCCCCTACTGTCCATCACTCCCATCTGCAGTCATTGTGACACTGACAAGCTGTTTGCCATTGACGTATACAGTGATGAACAAAAGATGAATGATATTTCTGGACTGGTAGTCCTAAAACATGAGGAATTTAAGTTTGATTTTAAAATTCATCACTAAATATGGCTCTGCACTTCCCCCTCCAGCATCTGGACTCCCCAGGAACCTATGTCAGGATCCTGTTTGTGGACTTCAGCTCTCCTTTCAATACCATGATCCCAGCTCTGTTACAGGACAAGCTCTCCCTCACTGTGCCTGACTCCACCTGCAGGTGGATCACAGACTTCCTGTCTGACAGGAAACAGCACGTGAAGTTGGGGAAATTGTCTCTGCCTCTCGGACCATCAGCACTGGATCCCTCCAAGGCTGCGTTCTTTCTCCTCTGCTCTTCTCCCTGTACACCAACAGCTGCACCTCCAGTCACCAGTCCGTCAGGCTCCTGAAGTTCGCAGATGACACCACCCTCATTTAACTCATATCTGATGGAGATAAGTCCGCCTACAGATGGGAGATTGACCATGTGGTGACCTGGTGCAGCCAGAACAACCTTGAGCTAAACGCTGGAGATGGTTGTGGACTTCAGGAAGAACCCAGCCCCACCTGCCCCCATCATCCTGTGTGACTCCCCGTATCATTCGATCCGCTGAGAAGATGATCGGCTGCAATCTGCCATCCCTCCAGGACCTGTACACCTCTAGGACCCTGAGGCGTGCAGGCAAGATTGTGGCTGACCCCCTGCATACAAACACTTCCCTCTGGCAGGAGGCTGCGGTCCATCAGGACCAAAACCTCAGGCCACAAGAACCATTTCTTTCCTTCTGCAGCTGGCCTTATTAACAAGGCCCGGAACCCCCACTGACACTGACTCTTAAACCCACCCTGTATAAATGCATTACATTAATGCACTCTCATTGGTTTTTCTATCCTGCACATTGTAAATATCTTTCCTGTACAGTTTTAGATATTTTTTATCTTCATCTTTATTTATTTATATTTCAAACAGTACTTGATTTCTGTGTGATTTTTATGCACCAACACACCAAGGCAAATTCCTTGTACAAGTAAAAACATACTTGGTAGTGAACCCGATTCTGATTCTGATTCAAATTAGAGTACACACATGAAACAATATTTTAATGTAAACTTCTAATTGTTCAGATTTATTTTACTGTAAATTACCTGTAGTTACCTGTAGCAAAAAAACAGTATGACATAAACTTTTTTGATAATAATATCCCTGTTTGCTACCAATCATGAGACAGTATCACAAACATTATGCTCTGCACATCCTAGAATAACCTGCTTATCTGTGGGCCTACAGCACAACCTCAGAGGAGGTCAAAATTCAGTCAGAACAGTTGATTCAAATCTTGAAAGGCTCGGTTTAGATGGAGGCTGGCTGCAGGTGTTCAGAGACTCAACATGTTGTCTATTTGCAGGCAGATAAAGGAGAGTTTTTGTATTGACTTGTGGGGAATCTGAACCACTGTGTTGTCTGGCAGCACAGAAATACACACCGCTGTCATTTAATGTAAGATTAGAAATAGTGAGGCTCGACTGTTTATTGCCTTCTCCATCAAAGCTGATTTTTCCCTTCACGTTGTCCTCAGGGTTAAGGTAGTTGACATTCAAATATCCCAGGAACTGCAGAGTTTTAGTTTCATCTTGTTTGTACCAGAGAATAACTTGATAACTTGTTATGGTGTGTGAACATTTGATCCCACTGACAACAGATTCACCAACTCTCTTAATGATGAAAGGAGGCGTTTGGAAGACGCTGTCGGAGAGAGAGGAACCTGTGGGGAAAGAACAGACGCTGTTTAAAATACTGAAATTATTAGCTGTTGAATGTGTTCTGCTGTTTGTATACTCACCCTCATTCCCCGGCAGACGAAGGAAACAAAATAGAAAAACCTGTAACATCATGAAGGATAAACAATAAAAACTGTGAGACTCTACTGTTGGCTTTCCTTTCAGGCCTTTTCAGCTCAAGAGCACATGACTATTACACTATATGAAACAGGGGAGGTGTCCGATATAGACATCACAACCTATGCTTTATTAGCACTGTATGGCACTGTGATGGAAGTGTTTAACTATTTAACTTGCAGAGGTTTGTCTCCCCCTGCAGGTGTGAAAAATACTGTATCAGGTGAAGGTTATGTGAAGTTGGACAAATTTTTCATATATATATATTTGACTTCATTTGACAGCTCAAGACAGACAGGAAAGGGGGAGAGAAAGGGGATGACACACAGCAAGTGGGGCTGCAGGCCGGACTCAAACCCATGGCTGCTGCAGCTACTGTACTCATGGTACACAGGGCGGCAGCTCTACCAGGTGAGCTACCAGGGCCCCATACGATACTTTCTTGTTATTCTTTGTTTGACTTTTGCTCATCAGGCTTTCATTGAAAAGTTTATTTGTCCCATGATGCAAGTGTGTGGGCTTTTTTCTGAGGCCTGTGATTAAGTTTGATTAAATGTGTTTATGCGTACATTATTCTTATAATATCTAGAGTTGAAATGATCCACAGAAAATTAATCTGCAACTTTTTTGATAATTGTATAATTTTCAGTCATTTTTCAAGCAAAAATACCAAACAACTCTTATAGTAAACCCTCCTATCTACAAACCAACATGAAGGCATGAGGTGGGTGGTGTCATCGTGCATCTTCTAATATTCTAACTATCGTGTCAACTACCACTACACTCCACTGGTTCAGTATAAAGGGCTGAGTTAAGATATACCACCACCTACTGAAAGGAAAGCATACAGGTGCAAGAGGCTGTGTGCTACAGAGATGAAGAGTGTGATGAGGTTTTTGTACTGAGGAGCAGTGATATGTAGCACTGTGTAAACTAGCAGCACAGAAGTACACTGCACTGCTGTTCAGCTGGAGTTCTTCAATTGTTAATGTGCAGGTTTGGCCTTTATTTGCACTCCCTGCTATCTTCACTTTTACTCCATTCTCTGGTTTTCCAGAGTCTCCTAACATATATCCCAGGAAATGTAGTTGTCCGTCTGTTTGCTTGTACCAGAGGATTCGGTTATAGGTGTCAATCTCATGTGAACAATTGATTTTGGCTTTTCCTCCTGGTGTGTTGTACATGTCAGCTGGAGTTTGGTGGACTTTCTCACTGAGAGAGGAACCTGGGGAGAAAGGATCAATACAACAAAATACAACATGAGAATAAACATTACGTAAAATCCAGTAATACAGCTGAAACCTCAGCATTGTATGAGACTAACTATTAACACATTATGTTGAAAATTTGGAAAAGACCATTTTAAATGTTTCAAATAATTTTGACTTGAACACATTTTGTTGAAAATGTGAATTAAAATGATATTATAAACACTTTTTGATGACATTACCTGAAACCAGAATAGAGTTAAAAGTAATGCAAATGAATAAGAGGATCATTTTGTGTTTTTCTGTTTGTATTTGCAATGAGTGAAACAGTTATACTGACTATTCCAAGCTTCTTGTGGCTTAAACCCTCCCAAGTCATTAGGTGGGTGGTGTCATTGAGCATCCGACTCATTTTAACTCCCTCTTACACATCACTGGCTCTGTGTGTAAAGATCTGAGTAATGATAGGCTGAGGAGGAGAAGTTTGTCAAAATAATATTAACTCAAGGTCCACTTGCTAGCTCTTTCTGGAGCTTTAACCATATCTGATGGTCTTTGGTAAATGTAGTGGAGGTCCAGTAAGGTGACCTTGAGTTAAGATTAGTTTGTCCAGTTAATGTCGAGCATTAAATGTGATGCTTAAATATCTAACATATCTGTTTCACTATGTTTTACACATGAATACTTTTGGTGTTGGACTTGACTGTAAAAAACAAGCAATGTAAAGATGTGTAATAAAATAGAATCATCATATTTTGACAATGAAAATAACTGTCATTTGAAGCCTTACTAATATGTTTCCATAATTACCTCTTTCTCATGAATAATTATGGTTTATATATTTTAGTTAGAAAGACAGCTAGTTTTATATTTGAAAACTTGTTATGAAGCTTAAAATATTTCTGAAGCTTTTCCTAAGATATTGGTGAAAGTCCCCCTTTGTGTGGCTGCAGTGTATTGTTGCAGTACCACTCTTGTCTTTCTACAGTGTGGAGTTCTGGGTGACCTCAGTGAAACCTGTGTACATTACAGTAAATACTGTCAGTGTAGCTACAGAGATATGAAGAGCTGCAGGTGGGAGTGTCATATATTATGTGGCATTTGATCAAAGTGTAACTGGGAGGATTTGAGGTCCTCGAGGTCCCCCTACAGTACATGAGACAACTGAAACAGTAATACTAACAGTGCACTGAGGTTTTTGTTCAGCTATTGAGTGCATCTGTATCACTGTGTTGGCTCACAGCACAGAAGTACAAGCCTTTATCTTCTGGCTCCAGATTGTTCACTGTGAATGTCCCACTGGCAGCGTCAGGTTTGGTGGCTGAGAATTTCTCTGTGCTGAAATTGCCAAAGTCTTTGCTGTTGATTGATGTGAACACAATTAGTTTCATTCCTTCTCCTGGTAGCTGTCTGTACCAGTACATCTGGAAGTATAATCCACCCTTCGTGTGTCTGCAGTCTATTGTTGCACTTTCGCCCTTGTTTTTCCACAGAGTCTCATTCTGGGTAACATCACTCCCATCAATTAGACCTGTAAAAACAAACCTTTATAATCAACCTATTTCTGGACTTTCTGACATAACTTATATTTAAAATGATAAACAATTGCAACAAGTCAAAAACATGATCAAAAGTTAGTTCATTTAAAACATATCAATAATGCAGTGTCCCCAGTAAATTACCTGCAGTCCACAGCACAAAGACTGATAATCTGAGGAGGCCTTGTTTAATGATAATATCCATGTTCTGTTAGACGCAAACTGCCAGAGTCTCTAATAGATACATGGATATAAAGAGCTGCAGATGGGAGTGTCACTGGATTGTATGATGTGGTTTTGTTGACTTCCTGTATCAGTTAAAGTGGTTCTTGGGGTCCCCCTACTGTCCATCACTATCATCTGCTGTCATTGTAACACTAACAAGTAGGGTTGGGTATCGGTTGGGTTTTATCTGATACCGGTGCCTACTCTGTATTTTTTAACCGGTTCTCGAACCGGTACTTAAAAAAACGAAACCACACACACTTTGTCAAAAAACAATACTCTTTTATTTCCAGGGCCAAATTGATCACAATATTATGAGTTTCATATTAAGCAGAAAGTCAGCGGACACTGAGTGGACATAGCACACGTAGTCACTCACGCTGTTGAATGGCTACGGTGTTTGCGGTTGGCATTAAATTACTAGATTTACCCATAGAGGAAAGGCTGCTGTCATCATCATCATCTGTGATGTCCACCACCACACTGGCAGGGCTGGGAGTCTCTTCAATTTGTCCAGCGAGGCCGACACTGGCTGCGGCTGCTGAAGTGCTTGGCCTTGCGTCACATAGGTTATCAAACACGGTGCATTGTTCAGCTTTTAAATAAACTCCATGTGTCGCCAGATGGTTCATCAAATTCGACGTGTAACCTCCCTTGCATGCAATTGTTTTATGGCATCTGTTGCATGTCGCAGAGTCTGCATCCTTAGACGTGAAATGCAGCCAAACCTTGGAGGGTTTTGCCTTCGGCATCTTCATTGATCCTCTCACTATCAGTTCTGATCAACAAGTGTGCTGAGTAGCGGCACTGACGTCACGCAAGTTGACACCGGAATACCAGGGGACGGTAAAAAAAAAAAAAAAAGTCAGGCAAAGGAGGCGTTTGGAAGACGCTGTCGGAGAGAGAGGAACCTGTGGGGAAAGAACAGACGCTGTTTAAAATACTGAAATTATTAGCTGTTGAGTGTGTTCTGCTGTTTGTATACTCACCCTCATTCCCCGGCAGACGAAGGAAACAAAATAGAAAAACCTGTAACATCATAAAGAATAAACAATATAAACTGTGAGACTCTACTGTTGGCTTCCCTTTCAGGCCCTTTCAGATCAAGAGCACATGACTATTACACTATGTGAAACAGGGGAGGTGTCCGATATATATATCGCAACCTATGCTGTATTAACAGTGTTTGTCTCCCCCTGCAGGTGTGGAAAATACTGCATGAGTAAGTGTGTGAAGGTTATGTGAAGTTGGACCAGTTTTTCATATATATATATTTTTGACTTTATTTGACAGCTCAAGACAGACAGGAAAGTGGGATAGAAAGGGGATGACACACAGCGAGGGGTTCTGCAGGCCGGACTGAAACCCATGGCCGCTGCTCAACTCTTATAGTAAACCCTCCTATCTACAAACCGACATGTAGGCATCAGGTAGGTGGTGTCATCTCTTCTAATATTATAACCATCATGTCGACTACCACTACACTCCACTGGTTCAGTATAAAGGTCTGAGTTAAGATATACCAACACCTACTGAAAGGAAAGCATACAGGTGCAAGAGGCTGTGTGCTACAGAGATGAAGAGTGTGATGAGGTTTTTGTACTGAGGGGCAGTGATATGTAGCACTGTGTAAACTAGCAGCACAGAAGTACACTGCACTGCTGTTCAGCTGGAGTTCTTCAATTATTAATGTGCAGGTTTTGCCTTTATCTGCACCCCCTTCTATCTTCACATTCACTCCTTTCTCTGGGTTTCCAGTGTTGTAATCCATATATCCCAGGAACTGTAGTTCTCTGTTTGACTGCTTGTACCAGAGGATTCGGTAATAGCTCTGAATACTGTGTGAACAGTTGATTTCAGCTTTTCTTCCTGGTGTGTTGTACATGTCAGCTGGAGTCTGGTAGACTTGTTCACTGAGAGAGGAACCTGCTGAAAAAGAATCAAACCCTCAGACAGAATATAACCAGAGCATAAACGCTGGTGAATAGAACAACTTGAAATGTCAAATAATGCAAAAGACAGCTGAAATAGCAGTAATATGTGAGAGTGGCTGTAAATAAGCAAATCTATAAACATATTTTGTTGAAATGTGAATTAAAATTATATTTTAAATGATTTTTGATGACATTACCTGAAACCAGAATAGAGTTAAAAGTAATGCAAATTGATAAGAGGATCATTTTGTGTTTTTCTGTTTGTATTTGCAATGAGTGAAACAGTTATACTGACTATTCCAACCTTCTTGTGGCTTAAACCCTCCCAAGTCATTAGGTGGGTGGTGTCATTGAGCATCCGACTCATTTTAACTACCTCTTACAAAAAAAAAAAAAGTCAGGCACCGAAATGTTCATTCTTATTTGGTCTGGTTACTACCGTTTACGTCGGACCGGTGCCCTATTGGTACCGCGTTTTGGTACCCAACCCTACTAACAAGTAACGTATATGGATGAGATACTGAGATGAATGATATTTTTATTTTAAAATTCTTCACTAAACATGGCCCTGCACTTCCCCCTCCAGCATCTGGACTCCCCAGGAACCTATGTCAGGATCCTGTTTGTGGACTTGAGCTCTGCTTTCAATATCATCATCCCAGCTCTGTTACAGGACAAGCTCTCCCAGTTCACTGTGCCTGACTCCACCTGCAGGTGGATTACAGACTTCCTGTCTGACGGGAAACAGCACGTGAAGCTGGGAAAAATATCTCTCGGACCATCAGCACCGGATCCCCCCAAGGCTGCGTTCTTTCTCCTCTGCTCTTCTCCCTGTACACCGACAGCTGCACCTCCAGTCACCAGTCCGTCAGGCTCCTGAAGTTCGCAGATAACACCACCCTCATTGGACTCATCTCTGATGGAGATGAGTCCGCCTACAGATGGGAGATTGACCTCCTGGTGACCTGGTGCAGCCAGAACAACCTGGAGCGAAACGCTGGAGATGGTTGTGGACTTCAGGAAGAACCCAGCCCCACCCGCCCCCATCATCCTGTGTGACTCCCCAGTTGACTCTGTGAAGTCCTTCTGCTTCCTGGGTACCATCATTAACCAGGACCTCGAGTGGGAGCTGAGCAACCAAGAAAGCCCAGCGGAGGATGTTCTTCCTGCGGCAGCTGGGGAAGTTCAACCTGCCAAAGACGATGATGGTGCACTTCTACACCGCCATCATCAAGTCCATCCTCACCTCTTCCATCACCACCTGGTACGCTGCTGCCACTGCCAAAGACAAGGGCAGACTGCAGCATATCATTTGATCCACTGAGAAGATGATCGGCTGCAATCTGCCATCCCTCCAGGACCTGTACGTCCTGTACATTAAGGCAGAGGAAGACACATTTAATGATTTTATGTTTTGATGTATTTTGTGATGATCTTCAGAATAAGGTAGATATGTCTACTGGCATGGTGGTTTTGATTTGAACACGTCTCATTTACAGGGAACTATCAGTCATGAGACTCTATCACAAACATTATGCTCTGCACATCCTACAATAACCTGCTTATCTGTGGGCCTACAGCACAACCTCAGAGGAGGTCACAATTCAGTCAGAACAGTTGATTAAAATCTTGAAAAGCTCGGTTTAGATGGAGGCTGGCTGCAGGTGTTCAGAGACTCAACATGTTGTCTATCTGCAGGCAGATAAAGGAGAGTTTTTGTATTGACTTGTGGGGAATCTGAAGCACTGTGCCGACTGGCAGCACAGAAATACACACCGCTGTCATTTAATGAAAGACTGGAAATATTGAGGTTTGAATATTTCTGGCCATTTCCATCAAAGCTGATTTTTCCTTTCACGTCGTCCTCAGGGTATGGGAAGTTGAGATTCAGATATCCCAGTAACTGCAGAGTTTTGCTTTCATCTTGTTTGTACCAGAGAATTAGGTCATAACTTGTTATGGTGTGTGAACATTTGATCCCACTGACAACAGATTCACCAACTCTCTTAATGATGAAAGGAGGCGTTTGGAAGACGCTGTCGGAGAGAGAGGCACCTGTGGGGAAAGAACAGACGCTGTTTAAAATACTGAAATTATTATCTGTTGAGTGTGTTCTGCTGTTTGTATACTCACCCTCATTCCCCGGCAGACGAAGGAAACAAAATAGAAAAACCTGTAACATCATGAAGAATAAAGAATAAAAACTGTGAGACTCTACTGTTGGCTTCCCTTTCAGCCCCTTTCAGATCAAGAGCACATGACTATTACACTATGTGAAACAGGGGAGGTGTCCGATATATATATCGCAACCTATGCTGTATTAACAGTGTTTGTCTCCCCCTGCAGATGTGGAAAATACTGCATGAGTCAGTGTGTGAAGGTTATGTGAAGTTGGACCAGTTTTTCATATATATATTTTTTTGGCTTTATTTGACAGCTCAAGACAGACAGGAAAGTGGGATAGAAAGGGGATGACACACAGCGAGGGGTTCTGCAGGCCGGACTGAAACCCATGGCCGCTGCTCAACTCTTATAGTAAACCCTCCTATCTACAAACCGACATGTAGGCATCAGGTAGGTGGTGTCATTGTGCATTTTCTAATATTATAACCATCATGTCGACTACCACTACACTCCACTGGTTCAGTATAAAGGGCTGAGGTAAGATATACCACCACCTACTGAAAGGAAAGCATACAGGTGCAAGAGGCTGTGTGCTACAGAGATGAAGAGTGTGATGAGGTTTTTGTACTGAGGAGCAGTGATATGTAGCACTGTGTAAACTAGCAGCACAGAAGTACACTGCACTGCTGTTCAGCTGGAGTTCTTCAATTATTAATGTGCAGGTTTTGCCTTTATCTGCACCCCCTTCTATCTTCACATTCACTCCTTTCTCTGGGTTTCCAGTGTTGTAATCCATATATCCCAGGAACTGTAGTTCTCTGTTTGACTGCTTGTACCAGAGGATTCGGTAATAGTTCTGAATACTGTGTGAACAGTTGATTTCAACTTTTCTTCCTGGTGTGTTGTACATGTCAGCTGGAGTCTGGTAGACTTGTTCACTGAGAGAGGAACCTGCTGAAAAAGAATCAAACCCTCAGACAGAATATAACCAGAGCATAAACGCTGGTGAAAAGAACAACTTGAAATGTCAAATAATGCAAAAGACAGCTGAAATAGCAGTAATATGTGAGAGTGGCTGTAAATAAGCAAATCTATAAACATATTTTGTTGAAAATGTGAATTAAAATTATATTTTAAATGATTTTTGATGACATTACCTGAAACCAGAATAGAGTTAAAAGTAATGCAAATGAATAAGAGGATCATTTTGTGTTTTTCTGTTTGTATTTGCAATGAGTGAAACAGTTATACTGACTATTCCAACCTTCTTGTGGCTTAAACCCTCCCAAGTCATTAGGTGGGTGGTGTCATTGAGCATCCGACTCATTTTAACTCCCTCTTACACATCACTGGCTCTGTGTATAAAGATCTGAGTAATGATATGCTGAGGAGGAGAAGTTTGTCAAAATAATATTAACTCAAGGTCCACTTGCTAGCTCTTTCTGGAGCTTTAACCATATCTGATGGTCTTTGATAAATGTAGTGGAGGTCCAGTAAGGTGACCTTGAGTTAAGATTAGTTTGTCCAGTTAATGTCGAGCATTAAATGTGATGCTTAAATATCTAACACATCTGTGTCACTGTGTTTTACACATGAAAACTTTTTGGTGTTGTACTGGACTGTAAACAACAAGTAATGTAAAGATGTAATAAAATAGAATCATCATATTTTGACAATGGAAATAACTGTCATTTGAAGCCCTATGTTACCATAATTACCTCTTTCTCATGAATAATAATGGTTTATTCCATATAGTTTAGTTACAAAGACAGCCAGATTTATATTTGAAAACTTGTTCTGAAGCTTAAAATATTTCTGAATCTTTTCTTAAGATATTGGTGTTGTAAAGTAGTTTCAGTACTAACTGTTAGTCTAGAAATACAGGATTAAGAGAAGGTCAGGTACAGAGGTTTTTGCGTAGTGTTGTAAATTAAATGTGCCACTGTGGTCCCGGAGGCACAGCACAGAAGTACAAGCCTTTATCTTCTTTGTCTCTAGATTGTTCACTGTGAATGTCCCACTGTGAGCGCCAGGTTTGGTGGCTGAAATTACCAAAGTCATGATCTTTACTCCCAACTATTGTGAACACTATACGTTTCATTGCTTCTCCTGGCAGCTGTCTGTACAAGTACATCTGATAGTAAAAGTCCTCCTTTGTGTAGCTGCAGTGTATTGTTGCAGTGCCACTCTTGTCTTTCCACAGTGGGTAGTTCTGGGTGACCTCACTGCCATCAGTGAAACCTGTGTACATTACAATAAATACTGTCAGTGTAGCTACAGAGATATGAAGAGCTGCAGGTGGGAGTGTCATATATTATGTGGCATTTGATCAAAGTGTAACTGGGAGGATTTGTGGTCCTCGAGGTCCCCCTACAGTACATGAGATATTGAAACAGTTATACTGACAGTGCACTGAGGTTTTTGTTCAGCTATTGAGTGCATCTGTATCACTGTGTTTACTCACAGCACAGAAGTACAAGCCTTTATCTTCTGGTTCCAGATTGTTCACTGTGAATGTCCCACTGGCAAAGTCAGGTTTGGTGGCTGAGAATTTCTCTGTGCTGAAATTGCCAAAGTCGTGATTTGGGTTGGTGGTTGATGTGAACACAATTAGTTTCATTGTTTCTCCTGGTAGCTGTCTGTACCAGTACATCTGGCGGTAGTTAGCATCCTTTGTGTGTCTGCAGTCTAATATTGCTCTGTCGCCCTTGTATTTCCACAGTGTCTCATTCTGGGTGACATCGCTCCCATCAATTAAACCTGTATGTAAAGCAGTAAAGGTAACCACAGTTACTATACTACTATAATGACTATAATGAGAGCAAGAACCTGAAATATAAACTTCCACAGTTGATGTTATTGTTAATTACCTGCAGTCCACAACACAAAGAGTGAAAATATGAGGAGGCCTTGTTTAATGTTAACGTCCATGTTCTGTCAGAGCCTGCAGACACTGCCAGAGTCTCATATAGTTACAGAGACATAAAGAGCTGCAGGTGGGAGTGGCACTGCATTGCGTGATGTGATCCTTTGAGCTGCTCCGTACAAATCTCTGTTGTCATCCAAGGTGTAGTGTAAGTACAGTACATCTCTGCCCTGAGATCACTCGTGCTTTAGATCAGTAACACTGACAAGCTCAAGATTTGTTGATTGAGTATAAAAAATTTTCAAGATGGAGAATGAAACTGAACTTCTTCACTAGGAAATAAAGATAAATTATAGTGTAATGAAGCTGGTTTGAAATTCTTTATTCTTATATGAAGCAGAAACATGAGCGTGAGGCAGGAAGTTTCAGCTCTGACAGTCTTTAATTCACTCAACCTAAAATTCTTTTATTCCTGTTGCTAATGGGAAAAGTTCATAGCCATATTATAGTCTAATAAACAATGTTTATTACAGAGAATGTGACCAACAGTGCAGAGGAAGTCATAATTATGTATACACAGCAGATCAAATCTTGAAAGGCTCGGTTTAGATGGAGGCTGGCTGCAGGTGTTCAGAGACTCAACATGTTGTCTATCTGCAGGCAGATAAAGGAGAGTTTTTGTATTGACTTGTGGGGAATCTGAAGCACTGTGTCGACTGGCAGCACAGAAATACACATCGCTGTCATTTAGTGTAAGATTAGAAATAGTGAGGCTTGAATATTTTTGGCCATTTCCATCAAAGCTGATTTTTCCCTTCACGTCCTCCTCGAGATTTACAGCAGCTATATACAGATATCCCAGAAGCTTTAGAGCTCCTTGTTGTTGTTTGTACCAGAGAATAACGTAATAATCCGTTATGCTGTGTGAACAGTTGATCCCACTGGCAACAGATTCACCTGTTCTCTTTATGATGAAAGAAGGTGTTTGGAGGACACTGTTGGTTTTAGAGGCACCTGTGGAAAAAGCAGACTAGATTTTGATTCTGGAAATTGAGCTGTGCAATGTCTCTCTCTTTCTGGAATATTCTTGTATTTCTCACCCTTATTTCCTGGAAGATGATGTTAACCATCATGTTAATCTTGTCAGGTCCTCAGCTCAGCACCTGTGGAAGAGAGTGCCTCACTGTCAGAGTATAATGAACAGGGGAGGTGTCAGAGAGAGGTCTTCATCAGAGCTTTAACTTCATCAGCAGGGAAGGAGGAACGTTATCTTGATACTGCAGTCAGTGGACGTGTAGCTTGTTGTCTTTAATTCAATTGTTGAGGTTTGTTTCCCCTGCTGATGTAAAACATACTGTAGTTTTCCTCAGTAATGGAGCTTTTTTAGTTCACAGATTTATTTTTTTATCGTTACCATCAGTGGCCATTTTAACTTGCACACAGCAGAAAGTTCACAGTGATTTTGAGCTTTTGATCGTGATCCCTCTAAGAGACACTGCAGCCAATAAAGCAGTGTGTTGATCTTTTTGTACTTTTTATCCAGAGTAGAAATAGTCAAACAGAATATTGTCAGTGTAGCTACAGAGATATGAAGAGCTGCAGGTGGGAGTGTCATATCTTATGTGACATTTGATCAAAGTGTAACTGGGAGGATTTGCGGTCCTCGAGGTCCCCCTACAGTACATGAGATATTGAAACAGTAATACTAGCAGTGCACTGAGGTTTTTGTTCAGCTATTGAGTGCATCTGTATCACTGTGTTTACTCACAGCACAGAAGTACAAGCCTTTATCTTCTGGCTCCAGATTGTTCACTCTGAATGTCCCACTGGCAGCGTCAGGTTTGGTGGCTGAGAATTTCACTGTGCTGAAATTGCCAAAGTCGTGATTTTCTACTAAGGATCTTGTGAACACAATTAGTTTCATTGTTTCTCCTGGTAGCTGTCTGTACCAGTACATCTGGTTGTAGCTAGCATCCTTTGTGTGTCTGCAGTCTATTGTGGCATTGTCGCCCTTGTATTTCCACAGTGTCTCATTCTGGGTGACATCGCTCCCATCAATTAGACCTGTACAAACAAACCTTTATAATCAACCAATTTCTGGACTTTTTGACAAAACTTCCATTTAAAATGATAAACAATTGCAACAAATCAAAAACATGCTCAAAAGCTAGTTAATTTAAAATGTATTAACAATGAAGGGTCCCCAGTAAGTTTATTTAAAACGTATTAATAATGCAGGATACCCAGTAAATTACCTGCAGTCCACAGCAGAAAGACTGATAATCTTAGGAGGCCTTGTTTAATGATAATATCCATGTTCTGTTGATGCAAACTGCCAGAGTCTCTAATAGATACATGGACATAAAGAGCTGCAGATGGGAGTGTCACTGGATTGTGCGATGTGGTTTTGTTGAGTTCCTGTATCAGTTAAAGTGGTTCTTGGGGTCCCCCTACTGTCCATCACTATCATCTGCAGTCATTGTAACACTGACAAGCTGTTTGCCAGTGACGTATACAGTGATGAACAAAAGATTTCTGGGCTGGTAGTACTAAAACGTGAGGAATTCTCACATCTGAT